GGATGGAGCATTTCGAGACCTTAACTCCCAGCTCGACTCATCACGCAACTTCGACCTCTCCTGCGACGGCATGCTTTCCAAACGGTAGACACGGCTAACACAGGCTCAATGAGACCAGCGAGACTACCCATTGCCCCGGCATTTCGCAGCCGTCGCTATGTCCCGGCACTACGACCAGCATGGGTCTGTCCCTCGTGCAGCCATGGCCAGACATCGCGCCGCCGATTCATGAGCTCCGACAGCAAGGGCGACAAGCCGTACTACGTGACGACGCCGATTTTCTACGTCAACGCATGTATGTGAAGCACTAACCGCACTCCAATGTCACAGGCCGGAGCTGATTGAGATCATCGTAGCACCGCACGTCGGCCACATGTACTCGATGCTCCTCGCCGACGTCCTGAAGCGCTGGCAGGTCCTCAAGGGCCGGCCCGCGATCCTCTGCACCGGCACGGACGAGCACGGCTCCAAGGTACAACAAGCGGCGGCGCGGCAGGGTGTGGCGCCCAAGGATTTCTGTGACACAACGGCTGAGAAGTTCCGGGACCTGGCGCGCGCGATCGGCATGGACAACGACCACTTCATCCGCACGACGGACCCGGACCACAAGGAGGCGGTGCAGCACTTCTGGCACCTTCTGAAGGAGAGGGGCTACATCTATGAGTCCAAGCATGCGGGGTGGTACTGTGTCAGCGACGAGTGCTTTTATGCGGCCAACGAGGTCGAGCGGACGGTTGTGCCGCAGACAGGAAGAACGGTGATGGCTTCGATCGAGTCCGGGAACGAGGTCGAGTGGATTGAGGAGAAGAACTATCACTTCCGCATGACGGCGTTGAAGGACAGGTTATTGGCATTTTACGCGGCGAACCCGGACTGGATCGTGCCGAGGGCGCGCATGAAGGAGGTAGTCGCGTGGGTGTCAAACAACCTCGAGGACCTCTCCATCTCGCGGCCGGTGCAGAGGCTGGACTGGGGTGTACGCGTGCCCGACGACCCTACCCAGACCATCTACGTGTGGGTCGACGCGCTCATCAACTACCTCACCAAGGCGGGCTTCCCCGGGTGGCAGCCGGGTCGCGAGCACGAGGCTGGGTGGCCCGCAGACGTGCAGATCATCGGCAAAGACATCGTGCGGTTCCACGGTGTGTATTGGCCGGCGCTGCTCATGGCGCTGGATCTTCCACTGCCGAAGCAGCTGCTGACCCACGCGCACTGGACGTTGGGGAAGAAGAAGATGTCCAAGTCGCTCGGAAACGTTGTGAATCCGTTCTTCGCGATCGACCGTTGGGGGCTGGACACAATGCGATACTTCATGATGCGCGACGGTGGCATCGAGAAAGATGCCGATTATGAAAACTCTCTCGTCGTGGCGAGGTATCAGAAGGACCTGCAATCGACCTTGGGCAACTTAGTGAACCGTGTCGCAAAGAGCAAGGTGTGGAAGCTCAGGGATTCCGTGGCATGGGCGGGTGAGGATGGCGCATTCAAGGGGCATAATGTCCATGCGAGCGAGGCGCTGAAGGCGTCAGTTGATGAGATGGCAGCGACCATGTCGAAGCACATGGACGAGCTGAACCCCAATGCCGCCATTCGCAGCGTGCTTGGCGTTCTCGTGGAGGTGAGAAGAAACAGATGAATTTTCCTACGAACTGGACTAACTCAATAACTCAGGCGAACAAGTACATTTCTGACTCGGCTCCGTGGAAGCTGACCAAGTCAACTGAGACCAAGGATCAGGCCGCGCTGCACGAGATCATCTACTATGCCTCGGAAGCCGTTCGATGTGCGGGCATCCTCCTCCAGCCCGTCATGCCGGCCAAGATGGGCACTCTGCTGGACATGGTTGGCGTCCGGGCCGACAGACGCGGGTTTGAGTACGCGGTGTTCGGCGCGGACCTGACATATGGCACGCCAGTGATTGACCCAGGACGACCCGGGGAGTGGAACAGCCTCTTCCCACCGCAAGCTGCTGAGAAGTGAGCTCGATGCTTGGGATTAGCGATCGTGATGATTTATGGACTTCATGTCTATGTACAACTGTAATCTCCCAGAACCAAAGGCGTTTGTAGGATTGTGTGTAGTATTGTGTAATACCAAGGAGCCAAATATGAAAGAGTTGATTATTGGGAGAGTCCAGACTGCATCCCGGACTGAGCTGTCACAGGTGAAGTTTCGATGTTGGTGGGGTGCCTGGTTGGACGCGTTGCACACAATTCAAGGTAGGAAAAAGTAGTGTGTCTTCGACGTCACGGCCAGATGGCAGCCCTAAGGAGGCTGTTCTACGGTCATATTTTCCGTGGACATGAAGTCGTTCGTTGATTCCATTCCCCGAGGAGAACCTCCCAGTGCACTGACCCCAAATCCCTGTTTCTGGCCCCCTGCATGACTTGGCAAACTGCGCCCTTTACTTGATTATCTCGATCCAACAACTTCGCAACCAACACATTTCATAACATGGCATATCGCCCCTGAAAGTCGTCAAGAATCTTCCTAGCAGTCGGTTTTCTAACTAGCAGCAAATACCTATTTGTCTCTGCAAGCTTCTAGGTACACATATAAAACGAACACGGCCATGGGTTCACTCTCTTCAGACTCCGAGAAGCCATGGATTGAGACGCCATGCATAAGATCGGCAACCCTGTCCCGCTTAGCAGGATGGTCAGTATTCACTTCACTTCACAACTAGGACCATGGTAACAGAACCCTAGCAACATCTACCTCAAGCTCGAGAACCTCCAGCCCTCAGGGTCGTTCAAGTCCCGCGGGATCGGAAACCTCATGTTCCGCGCCGCCGAGGCTGCCCCAGGAGCAGATGCTCACTTCTACTGCTCGTCCGGTGGCAACGCCGGCCTCGCATGCGCAACCTCGGCCATCGCCCTCAAGCGCAAGGCCACCATTGTCGTGCCCATGACGACGTCTCCTTTTATGATGTCTAAGCTGCGGCTCTTGGGTGCAGACTGCGTCCAGGTCGGCGAGAGTTGGGCCCAGGCGGACCGCCACCTCCGTGACGTGTTGCTGGCCAAAGACCCGGCCGGCGTCTATGTGCCGCCCTTCGATCACCCGCACGTCTGGGACGGCGCTTCCACTATCATCGACGAGTTGGCCTCACAGATTCCGGAGGGCCTCGATATCGACGCTGTGGTGTGTTCTGTTGGCGGCGGTGGCCTGATCAGCGGCCTCAGTCAGGGTATTTCCCAACACGATTGGTTTAACCGGCCTACACCGAACCTGATGGCGGTTGAGACCGTTGGTGCAGACAGCCTTAACGCCAGCGTGCGTGCAGGAAAGCACGTCACGCTCCCGGCTATCACATCTATTGCGGGCTCGCTTGGCGCATTGCGTGTCGCGACCAAGGCGTGGGAGGTTGCACGCGATACACCCGGCTTCGAGAGCGTGACAGTCACTGATGCAGAAGCGGCTATGGCTTGCGTGCGATTCGTGGACGACGCGCGCTTGGTGGTTGAGGTTTCTTGTGGAGCGACGATTGCGACTGTGTATAACGGCTCTCTGCGAAAGCAACTAGGCCGCAACGTGTCGGATGAGGAGTGGGCGGAGAAGAATGTTGTGCTTATCGTTTGCGGCGGATCGAATGTTAGCATGGAAATCTTGGACGGATACCGTGCCGAGTTCGGCATCGCCGTGTGAACGACGTACATACATGTCTGCTTGTTGAAACGGGCGTTTACGCAAATAGATACATGCTCATTGAAGAGAGGCCCTGCGCGGAGGGTCCTGCGGGCTACATAGATGAAATGGGAACCGGATGGATGGTCGACTGGCATGTCATGGTTCAACCGATATTACCAGCACTTCTTAGCTTCTCATTTAGGATACTCGATCATCTAGAATATACGACCTCGCGATACTCCTCCGTCGCCTTAACACCGGCAGAAGACGCCACAAACTGTCCTAGATCCTCCAGGACCATCTGAATCTCCCCGAAGTAATTCACTTCCCCTTTCTGCACGAAGCCCAACCGCCTAAACAGCGCGATGCTCGCCGCATTCTCCTCCTTGATCTTGACCATCAAGCCCTTCAGCTCCGGCAGCTTTCCCTCGCCAGTCCTACCCTCGCCCGTAACGTACTCGCCAAGAATTCGCTCCTTGTTATGGTGCACGTAAGTCAGGAGCGCCGTCACCGCGGCGTGTCCGATGCCCTTGCCGCGATGCTCTTTGGACGCGACCATGACGTCCACCTCGCCGACGTACGAGCCCTCGCTGACGCTCTGAGTCGCCTCATCGTCGTCATCATCATCGTCGTTGGGGTAGATGAAGAAATTGATATCGCCAATCATGTGCTCCGAGGCGTCAATCTCCCCGGCCTGTACCGTCTCAGCTTTGGTGTCGGACGATTCAGGCAGCGGCTGGCAGATAATGAAAGTGAGCTTGTCGTGCGACGTCCGCCACGACTGCTGGTTCTCGTACTCCTCCTCGAGCGTCAGCGGTTCCGACGCCGTGGCTTCTTGGATGTCCTACATCGCGGAATGCGTTCAATTAGTTAACCGTGCCCTTCCTCTTCACCGAAGCCGTCATGAATGAAGAAGTAGGCACGAGCCGAGTGAGAGAGTGAATAACTCGGGTTTGCTGACCGGATCGCTCATCCACCCATGATATTGCTCCACATGCCTGGCCTCGTATGGGACCAGAGTCACCCGCCGCGTCGCAATGGCTGCCCTTGGTGTGTAAGCAAATATTCACTTTCAACAAGGTGTCTTATCATCTAGACTTGACACAAACAGGGGCGTGGATGACATGCCTGTGTGCTCGTTCAGCTTCATTGTGCACTTGCATAAAAATAAGTTGTCACAACTACACACGCAAACTCCACTTCAACTCTCGTCAAAAACCTAGAGCAACCACGAACACCCCGCCGGTCTCGCCCACCCACAGCTCCACGTCCTCTCCTGCCGGTGTCCCAAAGAGGAAGTGCGTCAGAGCCAAACAATGTTCAAGTATGGAGTTGGGGCTGCCCAACTCCACAACAGCTGTAGCTGAATGAAAGTCAACGTGCCAGAGTGGTTAATGGGCTGCCCTGCTACGGATTCCCGGTTCTTGGATCAGGTTCCTGCAGTTTAGGCAGTGGCTTCGGTCGCGCAAGTTCGAATCTTGTCGTTGACGACGTTTTCCTTTTGTTGTCGCGAGATTTTTTCGTATGGCTGGAGTGGTTGAAGTGAGTCAGTCGGTATTCTGTTACCACGTTGGTCGTTGATGTTTGGGTGCTGGCTGGGGTGACAGCTGTATTGCAACCCCCCTTGGGCAAGCTGTTTTCTTCCAGCTTCGCTCTGCCCCACATTGACTTGCTGCTACAGCTTGGTCCTCTTTCAACACAACTACCACCATAGCAGCTAAAATAATCAAATTCACCTAGTAATATCATCACGCATACAACGACGAGCGCATTCCGCTTATTGTGCTCTGTGTAGAAAGATGTCACAAAGACAAAAAGAATCGTCAAGGACAGGATTCGAACCTGCGCGACCGAAGCCACTGCCTAGTCTGGAATCAAGATTTGATAGCAGGGCAGCCCATTAACCACTCTGGCACCTTGACTTCTATTTGTTGATGCAAATCCTGCTCTATATTGGAAATATGTACCTCACGTTATTTTCTAAACAACCGCGCTCTATCCAGGTATCGCGGCCTTTGCGGGAATGTTTTCCTTGGGATTATTGATATGTGAACCTCTGACGGAGCTGGCAAGGCTTTGGTATGTAACGAGATATTATCCGAGTTGAGGTTATGCTTGTCCGCTATATCCATCTAGGTCATGCTTGTCCACACGCAGCTTCGATCAACAAGACTCCTTCTACGAAGTAGCGAAAAACGTCGTGACGAACAGGCGGGGCTCAAGCCTGTCGGCTGGTATCGAATGAATTGTCGTCAGTAGCATGCAACATTGTGCCCAGCGATCAAGCAGGGAGTGGGGAGAGGTTCTATTCTTTGGACTGATCCAATTAAAGGAGGAAGAAAGCCTGGTGCAACGAGATGTATTGTGCACGATGGTTATATATATGTATATCGTAAGACCCTTTACCCAAAGCTATGTTCCGATCATCTGCTACTGGGCTGTACTTCTTCTCAAGAGGCATACTGCTCACCGTGTTGAACTGGTTGGCCATCCCGGAACTGATGATTGTTAAGATACTCGGAACCCTTGGGAGCATTCTTCTTCCATTCATTTCGCATACAATGCGCATCCATTTATGCGCGAAATGTCTTTTTCTGGATACACTTGGCCAAGACGTCTTTGCCTACATGAAATAACACGAGACATGCCGTGCGGGATGACGATGATGGGAGACTGAACGGGCAGGGAAACCGAAGGCACTCATGAGCTCGCCACAATGGGTTCCTACCTTTACATCAGACCTTTTGATTAGCTCTTCAGGATAGTTGATGTGTTGCTAAGTGGGAAAAAACGGGTTGGCCAAGGATGGTTTGTTACGACAATGGGATATAACCAGCTTGGCGAACTCTTGCTGTCCGAGGGATAGTTGCATAACTGATTCTCCGCCCACGGTCACCCAAAGAGAACTTATGGATGCAAGAAGGAACACAGTTTCAAGTGAAAATCAAAAGAGTCATTGAAGTTTTGTCCAGTCTACCAACGTTCAAGCTACAGCATCTTGAAAGACCGACCTACGTGAAGTAAATCCTCCTATAGTTGTAGTCTTCTCTTATTATTGGCAAAAATGGTCGTCAATAGGTTAGAATTGCATACTAGCCTCACATACTGGCGCCAGGTCGATCCATTGTTCCGAGCGAGTCAATGCTGTACATGTGTGTCTGCACAATACAAACAAGGCGCACGGCAAGTCTTGCGATCAGACAGACACGACCTTGGTCATTTGCAGCTTCGCCCATTCAAACAAAGTATTTCCTGAGTGGCTACTCTCCCGGCATTGAAGACTTAATTTCGTGGATTGTCTTTCAAATGAGGAGAGTATGTTAACAACCGGTGACGGAATATTTGTGATATATAACAGGTAGTTACTCCGAGGAGAAACAAGACCAACTACGAGATCGCACAGTCCGAACGCAGCTGTATGGCAGGGTGAATCTCCTGTTGAAATGCTGACGAGCATCCAAAGACATGGCCACTTTTTTTAGCCAGACCTAACGCTCAACTCCTTATATCTTACTGGGCGTTGGCCGGACGCCAGCGTGGTCATAAACCGTACATGGAGACAATGAAAATCATCCAAGTTGCAATTTCAACAGCGGTAACTCCAACTAAATGATGAACCGATCCATCATCAATATGCCAGCTATTGATCTTCTCCGTAATTCTGGGCAATTCCTATGGAGAGGAAAGAGCATACCGTGGTATCTCTCAAGCAGGTGTAACGAAGTAAATAAACATCTTGGCTGCAATCAAACTGACGACGCAATCAATGTTCCAAACGGGACGGTCCAGTGTACGTCAAATCTCACTCTCATTAGTCAAGGCCCAAAAATGGATTGCTCCGACTTGAATCTGACACATGATGGAAGAGACTTTCCATGGTCTCAGTTGATGAAAATGAAGGACTTGCCGTTTCCGCGACGTTTATATCGCACGGGGCAGCAAACGTGCAGCCTGTCCACCAAGAAACGGTAAACCCCGACTCCAGAAACAACATGCCTCTACGTAGGCCTTCGGGGACTTTGATTCATCTTGATCTCTTCAACCAGGAATCATAGCTGGCGGCAAAGGGCCATCTTACAACTCGGATTTATCACACAGACCGGCGGATAAAGCCAGGCCTGCCGGCAGCAAGCTTTCGAAGCTATATTGAAGGAGGGTTTCTCATGACTATGCAGAGTAAGAGTTTATTAGATGTCTTATTGTAAGCCCATCTGTCAAAGGGCGAATGGTGTCCTGGTTCCAACCTAGAGCTCGCAACATATTTCGCCTTCAACTCAATTGGCACTGCATTCCCCTCACTCACAACAGACTCCTCAATGGGAAACCTATAACGCCGACCTTGCAGTAATAGAGCAAAAGGGGCAAACCGAGTCAGAGCTCACCGCGTCCCCGAGTCATCCTTGTGTCCTTCTCACAAGATGACTATACCCATGAATATACCTAAACCAGGCTTGGGCCTAGGTCCTTGCTTTCTTTTCATCCCAAAAATGACCGAGGACAAACTTCTGTCATCCGATAGAAAAAGAAACATCCCTCCTCTCATGTCAAACCAACAGTTTGATGAAGTTAATTAGTTTTCACTATCAACTCCAGCTGCCCCCGCCAACTCCTGAAGCTGCAAGAGCGCCACTCCTGATCTCTCATCAAGCCCAAACGCCAGTCGATGTTCTCACTTTCTGGCCACACATTGCCATTCCTAGAAGGCCATCACAAAATGTTCCGAATACCCACATCGTCGATCATCTTGCTCCAATTCCAAAAGACAAGCAATAACTCTCAAACGCATCCCCTTTGTCATTAAGAACGCTCACCCCCTCTCCACCACAACCCGTTCCACACCAACATCTCCCAATGCACTTGCTCCACATCCCGTCGTTGAGAACCCATGATCCCCGTCTCTCTGCGCGCCCACCCAAGATCCCTCATCCCCGCTAGACTCATCCCTTGGAATACAAGTATCCTCTTCGCCCATCTACACCAAACCCCGTTTAATCTCCCCTACTCGTCCTCACTCAAACGAAACACGCCAACGCGTACAATTACGTGGGCGAACTCACGTCAAGCAAGACACGCACTCGCACACGCAGCAGACTGCAAGGGGCGAGACGTCCTGCCTATCGCGACTAACACATATTGCCGGCTGATCAACACGTCGTCCAGGCCTGAACGTCTCGGGCCGGAGCCATTGCCCAGAACGACGGCCGGAAGCGCCACGACCTTAGAATGGCACTCTCTCACAGCTTCGTCCCCAGATATGCGTTCTCCGGCAGGATATTCGATCATGCCAGACACTCGCTGCCGCCGCGCGTTCAGCCTCCACCATAGATACACCCAAACCACGGCAACCCCTTACTCCTTTGCCTCTTAAGCGAGCAGTCCGTTCCATCACACCCAAGTAAATCCCGATTTCAGCCAATCTACATGCTTCAACTAAGCCCAGAGTCTTTCTCATGAACCCACCACGAATCATACCACAGTCCCAGAGGTCATCGTTCTTGGGGGCGCATCAGAAACCTTCCGGTTCCGCCGTCCCGGTCCATGTCACGCTCAGGTACCGTTCGTCCCCGTCCCACGACCTATGCTACATCTCATCTCGTCAATGCTGGGACCACATTTGCTGCTCATCTAATCTCCCCACATCTCCTCAACGCCACGGCAGACAAGCAAGCGGCACCTGAAGTGCCGACGAACTTGGATTAACCGTCAACTCGGAGAAAGGCAAATAGACACGCGACCTCGTTAGATTTCAGAGTTCAACACGGGCTTCTTGTATCCACACCGTATACCACTACATTTGCGTCTCAGCTTCGTGAATGACCAAACGAAACCGAACACGCAGGAAACCTTCATTCGCACTCCAGGTCCGGCTCGATGTTCTGCTCACCCACCACCCACCATCCTCGCCGTCCGCATGGAAAGCCATGCGTTCAACGGCCTCCCACGCGAGCTCACGGATCCGCCGCATTGCCCACGCCTAATTAATGTATGTCTCGTCTTCCTGCAACACACTAACAACACAGATACTCCCTTGCCTGGAGACGAGCTCCGACGCCTCACCCCCGCGTCTTCAAATTCGTCCGTCCATGAGCATCAACCTAGGGAACATTGGTCTCAGTCTTGCAGCAGCACATGCTTGACCGGCAGATATACGCGCAACCTCCCCTTGGCGACCCCGTTTAACACAAACAACCTTGCTCCGGCTGGGAATTTGAATCCTTACTCACAAAGTTCACTGGTTATCCACACAAGCTCCCAACGTATCCCCATGCCGGTGGCCGTTGCTCCTCCACGGTTCTTCCCAGCGCCTCCGTCTCTCGACTGACTCTGTAACTGACGCATCCTCTCTTACCGTGTCCTCCTGTCTCTCCCTCATACAACCTCCCGCCCAGATGGCGCCACCGACCGGCTGATCGTCCCCCCCGCCTCGACCTCATACACAATTCTGTGCCCATCTCACACCTTGGGGACCCCGTCCGTCGGCCCATCCCTCC